CTTAAACTAGGTTGTGCGTCAGGCAATGAATTTGCTGATTCTCTGTGATCAAAAGAGACAAAATCCAAGCCTTTCAGTCTTTGCTGGGATGCAAACCAAAAGGCAGAGACTTGGAGAAATGGTAGGCAGCCGTGCTGTATTTGGTGCCAGTTTGGTGTAGTGGTTAAGTGTGCCGCCGACTCTAATCTGGGAGAACTGGGTTTGATTCCCCACTCCTCCACTTGCACCTGCTGGATGACCTTGGGCAAGCCGTAGTTCTGGCACAGCTGTTCTTGAAAAAGAGCAGTTTCTATCAGAGCTCTCTCAGCCCCACCTAACTCACAGGGTGTCTGTTGTGGGGAGGGGAAGGGAAAGGAGTTTGTAAACTGCTCTGAGACTCCTTTGGGTAGTGAAGGGCGGGGTATAAATCCAATCTCTTCTTCTCTTCTTCTATTTAGAATGACTAGCATTGCTGCATACATGTCTTTTCCTCCAGAGTTCTTAATCTAGGATAACAACCTCTCCAGGGTTAATACAGTCAACCATAAGCACTGAGCCAGTAAAATCCATGCTTACAAATGGAGCTAGATTGCCAAGGCGTGTTGAGGAGCAATATATTTCAAATGAGCCCATAATATCTAGGTTCTCTTTGACAGAATCTGATTTGGCTTTTGCCCAGCCCAGAAAACAGGCACCCTCTTTTTAGATCCCTTGGAAAGACACTGGAGACTGTGTAACGGTGAATAATAATAGAGATTTTGTTTAATAGGTAGGGATGGTATGGGGTAGTCAGGACCTGGAAAGGCTTACATTAATCGGTACCCAGTACCGTAAAACCATATACAAAAGATTAAAACATTCCAAACATCTTTCAAGCTGTTTGTGAGACACATGGTGCCATGGTTAGAGAGTTGGACTAGAGTCCAGGAGGTCCAGGTCTGAATCCCTACTTTTACTAATGGAAGCTTGCTGGGTGACCTTGGACCAGCTGCCCACTTCCAGCCTAGCCCACCTCACAGGGTTGTTATGAAGATAAAGAGAGGTGAGGAGAGTGATGTCAGCTGCTCTGGGTCCCCACAGGGGAGGAAGGTGGGGGTAGAAAGGAAGTAAATCAAAACCAAACTAGTAAACGCAAGGCAAAGAGGCTAAGTGAAAAAGTCAATGGGCAGTGAAGAAGAAGAGATTGGATTTATATCCCACCCTTCATGTGGAGTCTCAGAGCAGCTTACAATCTCCTTTCCCTTCCCCTCCACACAACAGGCACCCTGTGAGGTAGGTGGGGCTGAGAGAGCTCTCGAGAGAACTTGTGACTGACCCAAGGTCACCCAGCAGCTGCATGTGGAGGAGTGGGGAATCAAACTTGCTTCTCCCAGATTAGAGTCTGCGCTATTGGCCACTACACCAAACTGGTTCTCAAACTGTATACATCGGCTTATTTATTTATTGTTTCTGTAAAATGTTTATGTGCCCACATTTCTCCCGAGCACCTCCTGAGCATATTTACAAAGCTGACTGAAACAGGGAATTTTCTCCCCTTTTTCAAATTGGTATTTGTTACTGAAGTAGGTTTTTGTGGGCACATTCTTGGGGGTGAATTAAATGTAAATTAAAATGACTCAGCTGTCAACAAAATCAAAGTTAAGAAGGTTGGCAGAGGCTGGCTTTTGGGGTTCAGAATGACTCTGCTCAGGACACACCTTCCGATTGGTCATTGGCTGGCCCTCGTGCCAGTCACAAGGCAGCAAAAGCAGGATCACCCCAGGCTGTTCTACAAGGGAACCCTCTCCACCAGCCAGTGACCTCATCTCATGGCCTCACTGGTCTGACCAGTAAACAGGCAAGGAGGCATCGCCCCCTTGCTCCCTGTGCATGCCTAGGAGCAGACAGCCCTTCCAAAAAGTAACACGAAATAGGAGCTGTGTAGGGGCCTTCAGCTAAACAAGTGGGATTCTGTGACCCACTTGGTCCCATCCTGTAGGCTGCAGACTTCTGTGCAAGATCATATGTCATTCTTATCACCGTCCCTCTGCATCACCTCCTACTATTACTGTAGGGGAAAACTAGGAAAGTAAACAATGGCTGTGATCACACACACTAAACAATCCACTTTCAATGCACTTGCAGATTGTTTTTTGCCAGTTCACACAGTAAAATCCATTGGAAGCTTGCTGGGTGAACTTGGACCAGCTGCCCACTTTCAGCCTAGCCCACCTCACAGGGTTGTTATGAAGATAAAGAGAGGTGAGGAGAGTGATGTCAGCTGCTCTGGGTCCCCACAGGGGAGGAAGGTGGGGGTAGAAAGGAAGTAAATCAAAACCAAACTAGTAAACGCAAGGCAAAGAGGCTAAGTGAAAAAGTCAATGGGCAGTGAAGAAGAAGAGTGGATTTATATCCCACGCTTCATGTGGAGTCTCAGAGCAGCTTACAATCTCCTTTCCCTTCCCCTCCACACAACAGGCACCCTGTGAGGTAGGTGGGGCTGAGAGAGCTCGAGAGAGAACTTGTGACTGACCCAAGGTCACCCAGCAGCTGCATGTGGAGGAGTGGGGAATCAAACTTGCTTCTCCCAGATTAGAGTCTGCGCTCTTAGCCACTACACCAAACTGGCTCTCAAACTGTATAGATCGGCTTATTTATTGATTGTTTCTGTAAAATGTTTATGTGCCCACATTTCTCCCGAGCACCTCCTGAGCATATTTACAAAGCTGACTGAAACAGGGAATTTTCTCCCCTTTTTCAAATTGGTATTTGTTTCTGAAGTAGGTTTTTGTGGGCACATTCTTGGGGGTGAATTAAATGTAAATTAAAATGACTCAACTGTCAACAAAATCAAAGTTAAGAAGGTTGGCAGAGGCTGGCTTTTGGGGTTCAGAATGACTCTGCTCAGGACACACCTTCCGATTGGTCATTGGCTGGCCCTCGTGCCAATCACAAGGCAGCAAAAGCAGGATCACCCCAGGCTGTTCTACAAGGGAACCCTCTCCACCAGCCAGTGACCTCATCTCATGGCCTCACTGGTCTGACCAGTAAACAGGCAAGGAGGCATCACCCCCTTGCTCCCTGTGCATGCCTAGGAGCAGACAGCCCTTCCAAAAAGTAACACGAAATAGGAGCTGTGTAGGGGCCTTCAGCTAAACAAGTGGGATTCTGTGACCCACTTGGTCCCATCCTGTAGGCTGCAGACTTCTGTGCAAGATCATATGTCATTCTTATCACCGTTCCTCTGCATCACCTCCTACTATTACTGTAGGGGAAAACTAGGAAAGTAAACAATGGCTGTGATCACACACACTAAACAATCCACTTTCAATGCACTTGCAGATTGTTTTTTGCCAGTTCACACAGTAAAATCCAGTTGGAAAGTGCACTGAAAGTGGTTTGTTTACTGTATGTGATCACAGCCATTGTCACTTACAAAAGTCATGTAACACCCATTTAACTACCTTGCCTGCCAATCCGGCTAATAAGATAGCAAGTGGTAGTGGTTATTGTTTTGGACTAGGCTTTGGGAGACCTGGAGCTGCGGTGGCTCAAGTGGTCTGTAGGCTGCAGACTTCTGTGCAAGATCATATGTCATTCTTATCACCGTCCCTCTGCATCACCTCCTACTATTACTGTAGGGGAAAACTAGGAAAGTAAACAATGGCTGTGATCACACACACTAAACAATCCACTTTCAATGTACTTGCAGATTGGTTTTTGCCGGTTCATACAGTAAAATCCAGTTGGAAAGTGCACTGAAAGTGGTTTGTTTACTGTATGTGATCACAGCCATTGTCACTTACAAAAGTCATGTAACACCCATTAACTACCTTGCCTGCCAGTCTGGCTAATAAGATAGCAAGCTTTGGGAGACCTAAATTCAAATACCCCCACTGTTCCAAAGAAATCTTTTCAGTTAGTGGCTTCCACTCAGCCAAACCTACCTTGCAAGATTGTTGTGAGGATGAAAGGCGAGGGGACAGAACCATGCGTGCTGTCCTGAGTTCTTTGTGGGGGAAGGGCAGGGTAAAAAAGTGTTCATAACTTGCCTTGAAAACCCTACCGGGTTGCCATAATTCAGCTGTGAGTTGATGGCACTTTCCATCACCACAAAAATATAGGATGCAGGGAAGTGAGGGATGGAGAGCAAAGCCAGAGGGCGCTAGTTGTCCCCAATTAGTGCATCCAGATTGATTAATCTGGAGTTACAAATGTAAATTTGCACAGAGGGGTGTATGGTACCCTGGGAAATATGATTTCTGCACCCGACATGGTAATTTTGTTATATATACTATTTATTATTATCATCATCAACAACAACAACAACAACAACAACAACAACAATAATAATAATAATAATAATACTTCTTTTCTGTTTGGGGCTTGCAGTTCAAATTTTATTTTGAAATATTTTTAAAGAAAAGTGATGGTATTTAGAAGCAAAATAAACCAGGAATCCAGTGGTGCTTTAGAAACAAACTCAGTTTATTACAACAAGATGGGTAGCCCTGGCAGTCTGACTGCGGCAATGGAAACGAGCAAGAGTCCAGTAGCACCTTAAAAGACTAACAAAACTTGTGGCAGGGGATGAGTCGCTGCTTACTTCTTCGTTTGGATAAAGATGGGCAGCCGTGTGAGTCTTTCCGCAGCAGTAGAAAAGAGCAAGAGTCCAGCGTGAGCACCTTAAAAGACTGACAAAATTTGTGGAAGGGAATGAGGTTTCACGAGTCGCTGCTCACTTCTTCAGATATCTCAGGAAAGCTCATACCCTACCATAAATTTTGTTAGTCTTTAAGATGCTACTGGACGCTTGCTCTTTTCTGTGCCAACATAAAATCTGTAGACTGGCTTCATCAGACTCATGGAGCATCCATCAGCCTTCAACGTGCCACTGGGCTCACCTTTTATTTTGCAGCTAATGATGCTAAACGAATTCACTTCGGTTTAATTAATCCGGATCGAAGCACTTCCCTCCCGTCCCTCTCGATTCAGCCTTCTCCCTCTCTCTCGCTCCCTCTCCCCCCCCCCTTCGGCCTCAGGTCTGGTTCCAGAACCGGCGGACCAAGTGGCGGAAGAAACACGCGGCGGAGATGGCCACGGCCAAGAAGAAGCAGGACTCGGAGACCGAGCGGCTGAAGGGCGCCTCGGAGAACGAGGACGACGACGACGACTACAACAAGCCCCTGGACCCCAACTCCGACGACGAGAAGATCACGCAGCTGCTCAAGAAGCACAAGACCGGCGCGGCCGGCAGCGGCAGCCTCCTGCTCCACACGTCGGAGACTGACGGCTCCTCCTCCTAGACGGCCGCCGCCCAGAAGGGAGACCGGCGGGACCGCTTCGCTCAGACACGTGTACAGATCTATTTTTCTACGTAGCCCGATCGCGGGGAGGAGCCGGAGAGACTCTTTGGACGGCGCCGTCTGCGGGGGACTTTGGCGCGGCGGCTCCGGATCCTCCTCGCCGGGGGCTCCGACGGACTCGCAGCCTCTCCTGCCGCCTACTCTTTGTAAATACGAGCCAGGCTGCCGGGCGGACCCCCCAGCCTGGGAGTGACTATTTAACGTGTAAAATACCGGGTGGGTGGGTTGGTGTGTTAACTTAGAAGGCGTGACTCCGTCGGGTTTCTTTCTCTGACTGGCCCCTGGGGCGTGTGGGAAAGTAGCGTCTGGAAGTCTTCTCTTTTGGTTGCAGTAGTGGGATTTGTGGCAGACCCACAAGCGTGAGAGTCCTTCCTTTGGAACATACCATTCTCTCTCTCTCTCTATCCCTGTCTCTTTCTCGGGCTCAGCAAAGGAAACGAGGGGAGAATGGGTTAAAAAAAAGTGGTAGCTCCAACCAACTTCTATGTTTGTTATCTTTGGGGTCACACAGGCGTCTTCCTCACGCAGGGAGAAGCCGCGTTCTGCGCCACTCCAACATTCACGTCGTTGGTTCCAATTTAAAATTGCAATTCGGTGCCTGTGGGCCCAGCACAAGTGGTCGGAGGTCAGTTTCCCTCGAAATCGAACAGACATACTTCTGTGTAAATATGTCAGCCCCAATTAGTTTAGGAAGCCGCCTTGATTTCCCCCCGGCTTTGATTGGGTCCTAGAGAAGGGAGAAGAATACACTCCTTTAGCCATTGCCAGGCATAAAAGCTTACTTTGATTTCGTAAACTTCGCCTCAGTGTTTAATTCAGTGTATTTTGGGTTTTTTTTAAATTGCTTTGCGGGATGGGGCTAAGGCCTGGGAAGAGACGGTAGTCCGAACAACAACCAACATACAGAAATTGACTGACTTTTCCAGTAAAACTGCGAATTAGAATTTCGTAAACTTCGCCTCAGTGTTTAATTCAGTGTATTTTGTTTTTTTTTTAAATTGCTTTGTGGGATGCGGCTAAGGCCTGGGGGAAGAGACGATAGTCCGAACAACAACCAACATACAGAAACTGATTGACTTTTCCAGTAAAACTGCGAATTAGATTTGTTTTTAGCTTAACTTTCCCAGTATTGTTTAGACGCCGCACTGAAAACATGGAGAGGTCTCCCTCTCTCTTCCTCCCCCTCTGTATAATAACGAATACTATAGAATGTAAATTGTTTTCCTTTTTGAAAAGAAAAGCTAATAATAACGTTCTATTAGCATCTTAATCTTTTATTAATTTATATGGCGACTTTTCGGATTGTGAAGAGAGCGAGAACCCTTTGCAAGAGCAATTCAACGCAATGCACTTTGTTTCGTTTTTAAGAGAAATCCATTAAAATCCGTTCCAAGACGTCTGTTGCCTGGAAAGGGGGGGGGGGGGGGGGGGGGGG